ACGGACACTGAGGAAATCCAGAGAATCTTCAAGTCATACTTTGAAAACATGTACTCCACAAAATTTGGAAATTTAAAGGAAAGGGACAACATTCTGGATAGATACCACTTACCAAAATTAAATCAAGAACAGATAAGCAATTTAAACAGACCTATAACTGCTAAAGTAATAGAAGCAGTCATCAAAAGACTCCCAACCAAAAAAAGCCTAGGGCCAGATGGCTTCAGTGAAGAATTCTACCAGAAATTCAAAGAAGAGTTAATACCAATACTCCTCAAATTGTTCTACATAATACAAGCAGAAGGTTCATTGCCAAACTCTTATTACAAGGCTACAATCACCTTGGTACTAAGCCACACAAAGATGCAAATAAGAAAGAGAACTAAGTACAATATCCTTCATGAACATTGATGTAAAATTACTCAATAAAATACTGGCAAACTGAATCCAAAAACACATCAGAGAAATCATCCACATTGATCAAGTAGGCTTCATCCCCGGGAGGCAGAGTTGGTTCAACATTCGAAAATCTATCAATGTATTCCACCATATAACCAACTGAAGAAGAAAAACCACATGATCGTCTCACTAGATGCTGAAAAGCCTTTATAAAACCCAATACTCCTTCATGATAAAGGTCCTGGAGAGATCAGGAATAACAGGAACATACCTGAACAGAATAAAAACAATATACAGTAAGCCAACAGCCAACATCAAAGTAAATGGAGAGAAACTCAAAGCTATTCCTTTAAAATCAGGAGCAAGACAAGGCTTCCACTCTCTCCATATCTCTTCAATATTGTACTTGAAGTTCTAGCTAGAGCAATAAGACAGGAAAAGGAGATCAAGGGGCTAAAATTGGAAAAGAAGAAGTCAAACTTTCACTATTTGCAGATGATATGATAGTTTACATAAGTGACCCCAAAAATTTTACCACTGAACTCCTACAGCTGATAAACACCTTCATCAAAGAGGCAGGATACAAGATTAACTCAAAAGATCAGTAGCCCTCCTATATACAGACAATAAATGGGCTGAGAAACAAATCAGAAACACCCTTTACAATTGCCATAAACAACATAAAATAACTTGAGTTAATGCTAACCAAACAAGTGAAAGATCTGTATAACAAGAACTTTGAGTCTTTAAAGAAAGAAATTAGATACCAGAAAATGGAAAGATCTGCCATGCTCTTGGAAAGGAAGGATCAACATAGTAAAAATGGCAATCCTGCCAAAAGCAATCTACAGATTCAATGCAATCCCCATCAAAATACCAGCACAATTCTTCACAGAACTCAAAAATATTACTCAACTTTATAAGGAAAACCAAAAAACCCAGGATAGCCAAAACAACCCTGTACAATAAAGGAACTTCGGAGCCAGGCGTTGGTGGCCCACACCTGTAATCCCAGCACTCAGGATGCAGAGACAGGTGGATCTCTGTGAGTTCCAGGCCAGCCTGGTCTACAGAGCTAGTTCCAGGACAGGCTCCAAAACAATACAGAGAAACCCTGTCTCGAAAAAACAAAAAAAATAAAAAATAAACAATAAAGGAACTTCCAGAGACATCACCATCCCTGACTTCAAGCTCTATTATAGAGCTGTAGTCCTGAAAACAGCTTGGTATTTGCATAAAAATAGACAGGTAGACCAATGGAATTGAATTGAAAACCCTGATATTAACCCACACACCCAGAAACACCTGATTTTTGAAAAAGAAGCTAAAATTATACAGTGGAAAAAAGAAAGCATCTTCAACAAATGGAGCTGGCATAACTGGATGCTGGCAGATAGATCCATATCTATCTCCATGCAAAAAACTTCAGTCCAAATGGATTGAAGACCTCAACATAAATCCAGCCACACTGAACCTCTTAGAAGAGAAAGTGGGAGGTACCATTGAACGAATTAGTACAGGAGACCACTTCCTGAACATAACACCAGTAGCACAGACATTGAGATAGACAATTAATAAATTTGATCTTCTGAACCTGAGAAGCTTCTGTAAAGCAAAGGACACAGTCAGCAAGACAAAACCGCAGCCCACAGAATCAGAAAAGATATGCACCAACCCCACATCTGACAGAGGACTGATTTCCAAAATATGCAAAGAACTCAAGAAGCTAGTCACCAAAACACCAACTCATCCAATTAAAAAGTAGGGTGCAGAACTAAATAGTAGAGAACTCTCAACAGAGGAATCTAAAATGGCTGAAAGACACTTAAGAAAGTGCTCATCATCCTTAGCCATCAGGGAAATGCAAATCAAAACAAATCTGAGATACCATCTTCCACCTGTCAGAATGGCTAAAATCCAAAACAACAATGACAATTTATGCTGGAGAAGCTGTGGAGAAAGAGGAACACTTCTCCATTGCTGGTGGGAGTGAAAACTTTTACAACTACTTTGGAAATCAGTATGGCGGTTTCTCAGGAATATGGGAATCAGTCTACCTTAAGATCCAGCAATTCCACTCTTGGGCACATGCTCAAAGAATGCACATTCATACAACAAGGACATATATTCAACTAAGTACATAGGAGAGTTGTTTGTAATAGACAGAAACTGGAAGCAACCTAGACGTCCCTCAACGGAAGAATGGAGAAAATGTGGCTCATTTACACAATGGAGTATTACTCAGCAGATTAAAAAACAATGAAATCTTGAAAGTAGCAGGCAAATGGATGGAATTGGAAGAAACCATCCTGAGTGGGACCAGGAAGGATGAGACAGGGGAGGAATAGAGGACAAGAAAGGAGATGCCTTGATAGAGTTAGCCAGTATGGGTTTGGAGAGAGGTCTGGCACTGGAGAAATATTCAGAGATCCACAGGGATGACCCCAACTAAGAATTTAGGCAGTGGTGGAGAGGCTGCATTTGAAGCCCTTTCCCTATGGTTGCCATTCCAAGAGCCTTCGAAGCAGAAACAGGTACCCACAACTAAACACTGAATCCAGTTGTGGAGAGAGAAGAGGGATGAGCAAAGAACCCAAGACCTTGCTGGAGAAACCCGCAGAAACAGTTGACCTGACCTAGTGAGCACACAGCAGACTCTAGTGGTAAAGCTGGGGAACCAGCATTGGACTGAACCAAGCCCTCTGAATGGGGATGTCAGTTTGGAGGCCTGGGCAGTCTATGGGGCCTCTGGTAATGCATCAGTATTTATCTCCAGTATATGGATTGATTTTGGGAGACCATTCCACATAGAGGGAATGGTTATTGTATTCCTGGTTATACAACAAAACATTAACATCATGACTTCAGTTCCTCCTACTTGGGTCTTCTATTATTTGTAGCCAAAGGAGCATACTAATAATTATAACGATTTTGTGTGTGTGTTTTTTCGAGACAGGGTTACTGTGTGTAACATCCCTAGGTGTCCTGGAACTAGCTCTGTAGACCAGGCTGATCTTTAACTCACAGAGATCCACCTGCCTCTGCCTCCCAAGTGCTAGTATTAAAGGCATGTGCCACCACCGCCTGGCCTACAATGATTTTTAAAGTATGTTCTCAAAATTATTTGATACTTCTCCAATTGAGAGACTGTTGAAGTTACTTATTGTGTGTAAGGTGTGTTTGTCTGAATGTATGTATGTGCAACATGTAAATGTCTAATGCCTGAAGAGGCAAGAAAATGGTGCTGTATCCCCTAGAACTGGAGGCACAGACAGCAGTTAGCCAGCCCATGGATACTGGGAAGCAAACTTAAGTCCTCTGCAATAGCCGTGAATGTTCTTAACTGCTGAGTTTTCTCTTCAGCCCCAATTACAATTTTTTCCAGTACTCCTGCATGAGCCATAATAGAGAACCATTAAAACAAAACCCATGCCATCAAGTTAACAGCTCTATTTGATTCTAAGTTCTTACATAGAGAGTGGTGAATTGGGGGACCTGGGATTAATGAACCCAAGGGTTCAGTTAACAGCTGTATAGGCTTTACAAGTCACTTCATCTCTCTTTAACTCCTGGTTTACTTGTAAAATAAGAGAAAGGGATTAGAAAACTAATGAGCCTTCTGACTTTGCTACTGGAGAACAAAATAGAAGTCACTGTAGTGGGCTGAATGTTGCTCTATACCAAACACATCCACATTTGAATCCCAGACCCTGGGAATGCACTAGTTAACTTGCATGGCAAAAAGCATTTTTGTGGATGTGGTTAGCACGTATACCTCGAAAATTATGAAATGATATTTTGTTGCTTTAAACCATTGTATCTGTGGTTATCTATTATAGCAGTAACAGGAAACTCACAGTAGTGTTGAAGCCCTTGAGCTTTGCTATCAGAATATAGTATTTGAACTGATAGACCTCTTCTAACACATTCTGTATGTAAGGCTTTGGGCAAGTCATTGAAAATCTCTGCATTCTAGCTGCATCTTTAATACGGGGACAAAGGGAGTGCAAATCTCAGTTACTTGGAATTTGAAGAAAATCTCAGAATCAGCCACAATTTAGTAGTCCTAAAATAAATGTAAACAGAGTGCTCCTGCTAAGGTTTATAATTCAATTTAGGGCATTTGCTCCTGTTTCAAAAGTTTTATATTTCTTTATAAAAAAAAAAGTCTTGAAAGAAGAGGAGCATCAACTTTAGTTGTGTAGAGTATCTTTTTGATCCTTATAACTAGTTACAAAATAGAGGCTATTGTCTACCATTTGAGAAAATTGAATTCGGATGTTTGTTCACTTGCTACATTCATTTGCTGGATAGCTGTGGATGAAAATTGTGTGCATAGGACCACAGCAGTGATACCTAAATCACTTGTGCTGAATCTAGCCTGGCTGACACAAGGTCACCCTAACAAATCCCCACAGATGCTGTTCCAGCTCTTTACTTTCAGAAGACAGGCATGGTCAGATGTGCACTCTAGGCCTAGGAGCTACCCGTAGCTGCGTTAAGAGGATCAACTCAACCAAAGCCCCTCCCCCCTGACCTTTGGCCCCCATCCCCTCCCGTCCTTGGAAGGTTGCTTCAGTGCGACACAAAGGCGGGGCCTACGTAGACAAAAGCCCTGGGCCAGAAGTGGAGGCGGGGCCTCATGGGAGGTCTGTGAGCCGCTGCTGAGCTCTCGACCAGAGCTTTGCTCCGCCCCCGGGGACTGCCAAAGCCACCATGGAGGAGTACCACCGGCCCTGTGACGAGGTACCGCCCCTCCAGAGCCGGGAAGCGCCCCTCGCCCTGGTTATGGGGACGCTATCGGGTGGTCTCTTAATGCTTGCAGAGTTGGGATGCGGAATCCCGTGAACCTGAGTCTGCTCCGCAGGACCGGGATCTTTCTTGCCCCTCGGCTCTCTGTCTCCCCAACCCTGAAAGCCTGAGGGTGGGCTAATTGGTCATCGCGATGGCCTGGGTGACAGAAAGCTCTCGGGGGCAGTCTGCAGGGTCTAGGAGGACCCAGTCGGTGTAAGGGGGAGGCCTAACTTGAGGTGCCTGGGCGGGCGTTGGCGAGCCCCGCCCGTCTGCGATCTGGGCCTGGGAAACCGGTTTTTCTCTGTTTCCTCCACCCTTTTGGGTCTCCTTGAGCCGCCGGTGCTGCAAGGTGGCTCTGGTCTTGGGAACTCTCCCCAGGCACGACTAGAGGAAGTGCTTTAAGAATTAAGAGCCCTTGCTCACTGATTCAGGTTTCCCTAAGCCTCACCAGAACTCTATGATGTCAGTGATTTTCCTGTTACTGATGGGAACTCTGACTTTTCATGGCGACCAAGTGACAGGTCCTAAATTAAAACTGCTAGGAGTGACCAATGTTCCATTGGAACCCAGGTGTCTGACTTTACACTTCAGCCCATATTTCAGGATGAGGCCTGTTGAATTGCCCCACAACCTATAAGAGTTTACAAGGACGGAGTAGACAGACATTTTCTGTCCAGTGGTAGCCACTGGTGAGTGATACAAGAAAATGAAAGATGAGATGGTGCAGGCACAATGTAATATGATCTTTGTAAAGGGCTTGTCCAAAGGGTGAGTTTCTGCAGAAGAATCTGTGTTGCAGAGAGCATGCATATGTATAGGTCAGTCACATACTAAAGTTAGAATTAAGGACTTGTCCCCCAAATTACATGGTTAGCTCTTTCTCAGATTTACCTCTTAGCAAGGGTGCAAGGGAATCTTTTCTGCACTACTTCCTAAATACATGTAATTTTAAAAGAAATAGGAATGGAGAGATAGCTCATAGGTAGAGTGCTTGATTAGCACATTAGAAGCCCTGAGTTCCATCCCCAGCACCAGAAAAAAAGATGGAAAACCAACATACATTATTCGTGTTTTCCTGGCCAACTAAACATTCCAAATTGTAATGAAATGTGCATCATTTATTTCTTAGGCCAATTTTGGGTGTGATTTTGAAGCAAAAATGACTATAACAGGTCTAAAATATGAGACCTCTTTTCAAAGCTCCTCTAAGTTTGTAGGGGGTGGGAAATTTTATAGGATAATTAGTAGAGTTAAAATATGAAAAATCTATACTTAAAACATAACTTTAGAATTTACTTATTTCAACTAGTTTTAAGTTGCATAATGGCTTTTGGAAATCATATATTAACTAAAGCATCCTGGTTTATATTTTGTTCTTATCACGTAACCTAATTTTACACTTAAGGACACTTAGGTATCATTGAAAATTGCAATTAACCCACGATTGTAACAAGCTGCTACCCCAAAAATGAGAGACCAACTTATACAATTAAAGTGACATTATTTTGAATGGCAGAGTATTGCCATAATCTTTAATTTGGAAAAGCAGTGGGTTTGTCTCATATCAGTTGAAAATAAAATTGGCAATGACAATTTAGCATACTCTTTTTTTATGGGCCACTTGATCTACCTGAAATGATTTCCTGTATACTGATAGCACACAATAGAAATCATAGCTACTGCCTGCTAATTTCTTGAGCTTTGTTAATGCAATGATTATCTAGAATGTTCATTAGAAGCGCTGTTGTGAAAGCACTTTTCAAAATGGTATTTGCGTATGGCCTGCCCAATCATAATGAATCTGAAACTACAGGGAGCAGGGTTAGCAACTCAGGAGACCTGATGTCCCTAGCACTGTGGTCTTCTGTCACTATCACTTTCTTAGGCCAGCTGAGGGCATCCTGTATCTCGCCATATCTATAAATAAAGGGAAGCCTTACTGAAAGCAGTTTTATCGTGTTTTCTCTTTAGGTTGGCTTCAATGCTGAAGAAGCACATAATATAGTCAAAGAGGTGAGTTATATTTGCTGTTATCTCCAAGCTTGTGTGGATAGAAAAAAATTATATCCAGGTTTTGATTTTTCAGGTCAAAGCTAGAAATATTAATGATCAAACACCAAGATTTAAAATATTTATTCACTCTTTGTAGGGGTGTGTGTGTGGTCTCTTGCATTCAGGGAGGCCTATTTGGACCTTCTCTGAAAGACATGCTGAAACAATGTTTCAAGTCTGCAAAAAGTAAAGAAGCTCTTTTTTGAATCAATTTTAGCTAAGGACCTTTACTGATTCTAGTGTTAGCAATATAGACCAGCCTGTGGTTATCAATATAGCCTCCCCTGGGGTGTGAGGTTATTAATATAGACTACCCTGGCGGTGAGGTACTTTAAGAACACTCTTACAGCCCAGAGTCATCATTAACTCTGCCAAATCATAGGTAAAAACGCTGAGTTGGCCCACAAGGCTTGCTTTAGTTGTGGGTGTGGCTCTTGGGGCCTATGTCCTAGCAAGCCCTGATTGAGTTCTGTCTGGGCTGCATTGGCCCCACCTTCTGGGCATTGTGTGCATATGTGCCACCAATTCACCTTGCACAAGTGCTCTAAGGGCATCATTTTATCCAGAGCTCAGCTGGCCTGACCCTGTGTGAGTAGGACCAGCTCGACATCTCAGGGCTAGGCAGCACCAAAAACCATTGCTATATTTTAATAGTTGAAGAATTGTGGATTAGAACATTTAGCTATTTAAAATATTTAGACTATATTATGTAAATATGTATTTAGGACTATTTTTATTAAACTAAAATGCAAATGTTTTCAATACCGTCACAATGTCAGAGTACAAGAAAGAGCAATTGGAAGGCACAGGTAAAAATCTTATTTTTTGAAGTAAATTGTCAAGAGAAACTGTTTTTAGATGGTAGACATGAAATAAAAGATGTTGGGTCTTAGGAAGAACCACTTAAATATATTTCCCTTACCCACGTTTTGAACCATATGAAAAGACAAAAGTGTTCACTTGAAAGACTAAAACACCACCTTTATTGTAGATAAAACTAGGTTGATGACTATCATGTTTTATTATTAGCCCCTATTCAGTTCTGAACTTGCAATAGTGGCTTTGTGAGCACACAAAGGAAAGTTTGAGTCAGCAGAGCGACGGGATAATGTGTCTCTTTGGTCTGGGTGGAGATGGAAGGAGAAATGAAAACCCAAGTCCAAGATGCTTAGGAATGTGGTTTTCTTGCATGAGTATGGTAGAGCAATGCTGATCACTCAGCAGCCAGGTAACTTACTCCATCTCCATAGGAAGGAATGATGGATGAAATAAGAGATCAAGAATGGTAGGCATTTGTGTGGATGCGAGTGTGTGCTTGTGCAAGGAGCGGTAAAGCTTGAGGAAGAAATGTGTGTTTGTCAGTGTAAATGTGTTGAAGTAAATATACTGAAACCTCTATTTTGAGAGAAGGAATTGGAAGGGAGCTAGTGGACTAAATTTTCACCTATCATAGGAGTTCAACACATGCCTATAGCTCATACAGCAAGAAATAGTGGTAGACATGTTATCTGGAGTTGCAAGTAATTAATTGCTTCTTAAACTGTGTGTGTGTGTGTGTGTGTGTGTGTGTGTGTGTGTGTGTGTGTGTGTGTGTGGTTAAGTGGTACTGCAAACCACTAGATGCATTTTATTTCTTTTCTTGTTTCTTTTGTTTTTTTGAGATAGAATTGTTATATAGTCGGGATGGCCTCCAAGTTGTCATACTCCTGCCTCAGACTCTCAAATGTTAGGATTACAGGCACTACTAGATGCATTTTAGAGCATAAAGATCACTGAGAATGTGGTTAATAATATAAGCCATTTAATTAAAAACAGTTTGATACCAACCGAACTTTTGAGTTCTTTACATAAATAGATGGCACTTAGGAGAAATCTCAGGCTCAGGACAGGTTTCTTGGGGACCATGTTTGTGTTATCCTTTGTCTTTGTTTCCTGAGTCACCTTTCTATGGCACTGATTCATTTCCACTGAGGGACTGGGAAGGATTGATGTACAAGTACTGCTTTCAAACATTGCAGACGATCCTAGAGAATTCCAGATTTTCTGCAGTCATTTCTCTTTTAGTCCGTACTCGTCTCATTCTCCTTTCTTTAATTATGGAAATGCTTTTGAAAACTTTGAAGCAGTTAGAGACAGTGCACACCAGACAATTAGTAGACGCATGTTTTTTGCTATGCCTTTAAGAGTTGTGCCTCAAATTTCTCTTTTGGTATATGTAAAATTTGGTTCATTGGGTCTAATGGAGCTGTTTTCTCTCCTAGTGTGTTGATGAAGTCCTAGGAGGTGAGGACTATAATCAGAACAACATTAACCAGTGGACTGCAAGCATAGTGGAGCAATCCCTAGCACATCTGGTTAAGCTGGGAAAAGCGTATAAGTACATCGGTAAGTATTGATTCAGTGTCCTTCCTCGTTAGTTTCTACCTTTATCTTTCTCATTTTCTCTGAATTTGGAGAATCTATCTGAATGACAGGCTCTATAGTTGAATACTAATAGTGTATGAAGAACTTCTGACTTGTCCCTTTGAATGTAATACATGCTGAAATGTAAAATTGGAGGTCTTTTGGTCTAAAGCAGTTTAAACTGTCTTCCCTTAGTAGCATCAGTTCTCTTTGTCCACTGAGACCCTTCAGTGCTGTCTTCCTGTCAGCCTTTCTTGCCTCTATATAGGCCTGTGAAGATGCACAAACCAAGTACAAAAGTGAAATAGAACACACAATTTGATCGGGAATTTTTCCGCAGTACAATTGCTAGCAGTTATAGTAATGGTTCATGAAAGGGCTGAGGCAATGAAGTTAAGATCATGATGATGAATATTCAAAATAAGAGACTATTTTAGTCTACTAGCTGAATTATTTTGAATTATGTTGCTTTTCTCAGCTTTTAGAGTTCTAAGGCAAATATTTCAACCTTGATTCTTTCCCCTTTACAGTAAGTGTCATTCTGTGACTTTCTTTGTAGTGACCTGTGCTGTGGTCCAGAGGAGCGCTTATGGATTTCATACAGCCAGCTCATGTTTTTGGGATACAACATCTGATGGTGAGAGACTCTCAGTGAATTTACCCAGAGTCAAAGTTCCAGCAAAGTCAGTGTGGACTTATTACATAGCTCTACTTAAAGTCTGAAAAACACTGTATGAATAGAATTGCTTTGGATGTATTCACAAGTATGATTTCAAACCATTGTGAGGATACAACATGTTAGAGGAAATATTACTAAAAGCAATGTGTGTACGTGCTGGTGCATGTGTGCGTGCAAGTGCGAGTGTGTGTGTGTGTTTGTGTGTGAGTGTGTGTGTGTGTGTGTGTGTGTGTGTTTGTGTGTGTGTTTGTGTGTACTTAGTGCCTGATAATTTTGATGTTTTGCTGATATATCAATTTTTCTTCTTGTATGCTTTCAGGAACCTGTACTGTAAGATGGGAGAACCGAACCATGAACTGCATCGTCAATGTTTTTGCAGTTGCTATTGTTCTGTAACCCGATAAATAGACTGGGTTAAAGCCATTAACTTAAGTTTGTGAGTGTGTACTTTCGAAAAAGAGTGATAATTACCTATTAATGTGCTAGATGACAAGTGTGCAATATGCTTTAAAGCTATCAGCAAAAAACTGAATATTGTAAGCAAAAGTCTAATAAATAAGAACTTGGCAGGTTATCTCATATTCTATACAGCTTCACCTAAAGACACAAATGTTAGCCAAATATTAATGCAGAAATATTGACTGACATAAAATAGAATGTTATATTTATACAAGAATTTCATTAGCATTATGCACCCACAGAGATGGGAAAATCTATTTAGATACCAACATCATCTTTAAACTAGAAAACTTAACAGGGATAAATAAATATGAGAATAAAACAACTGCAATGATCAGTGCAGAGAAAATGACATGAATTAGCTGATACCTTCTTATTTATTTTAATTTCTTCCCTTCATTGAATTATATATAATAGTCCATGGAAAATAATTTTGACACCTCTCACCACCTGCATCTAATGTTATAGTAGCAGCTATGACTGACCTGTTTCCTTTTCCAGAGAACTGGCCAATTCATTTTTTTTTATGTCAGTTTCTTGCATTTACACTTGAGGTGGAATTAAATGATAACCAGATTTCCTGGTTAAGCAAAATTAGTTAAGTATGTGATCAGCAGTATATGACTCAGACAACTGCCTTACAATCTACTCATTCCATGAGGAACATTATCTAATGAATGCTTATTCTACATATTTCTCTGCCAGGCATGGCAGCTCTCAACATGGTGTTCGTGTTAAGTTTCTTTTGGTAGCTGTTCAGTTGGAAAACTGGTATCTCTGAAGAAGGGCCGACAAAGAAAGGAAAAGACTCTCAACCTTCATGGAGAACTAACCAAAAGGAAATCACTAATTGGTGACAAAATTAGAGATATAATTTTTAAGGTTTGCCGCTGACAAAGTAAAATACATAAAATATGCAACTCTTACTTAAAGGCCTTATCAGTAGTCTAAGCTATACAAATAACAAATTTTATCATTGTGTTAGTCACAGCTGTGTGTGCATAATTTAAAATACTTATGTGGAGTTAGGACTGAGTGGAGTAGGCTACACATTAAAAGCGAACAATCATTAGCAGGTTATCTAATATCTCAGGGTTTATGAAATATAGTTAAATTTATTAAGAAAATCGGTGATAAAAAAAGTAGGGTACACAGCTGGCCACCAAATGCGAAGCCAATCTGCCATTTAACCTTGAAAATGAAATGAATTTTACATGTCACCACTGGCACCCAATCCATGTAAGGACTAGAACCACGATTTATTGAATTTTTAGGGGAAAGAAAAGCTTACTATTAATGGTGACAATATTAAGATGGGATCCTTGTATGAGTACTACTTGCATGGTTGACATTTTGTTGAATAACTGCAATGGCAAGAATGCAAAGATAGAGTTTAATGCAGTGATCTGTGATTTTTGGCACATCAGAAATTCCTTGCCATTACCTTTATGTTACTTTATGCTTCTGGCTCTTGTACCTCTGGAGATTATAATAGTGACCAAACTATCTGTGCAGTTAAGGCTTCTTTCTGATTATTGTTGTTGAATCCTCATTTTCAAATAAATCATACCTCGTGAGCTTGCTCTTTGCTGTTCCTAGTTAAAATATAATAAAGATTATCTTACTGTACTGTACATTTGCCTCTGATTTTAATTCTATGGTCAAGAAATCAGGATTGTGCTTACTTTAACCAATTCCAAGCAGGATGAATGGAGGAGGGAAACAAATGTGGGGCCACATAAATATATTACAAAAATAAATATATTCATGTACACACAGGTCTGAAGCAAGAAGATCAACAGTGTGAGGACAGACCTAGCAAAACCATGTCTCAAAAATACTGCTACCCAAATCTAGTCTTTACCATTAGAATACAATGGATAGCTTCTATTTCAAGCATTTTATTTATGATTTTAAGCACAAAGTTTTTTTAAGTTAGTGAAATATATTATGTAACTATTTATGAACCTTTAATGGTTATTTTTAGAAATTAATTTTGTCCTATTTGTCAAATTGCAAATGAGCTGTTACTTCTTGTAAAAAATCAGGACTTTAAGTAAAATTAGAGTATTTGCATGTAATACTCTAATACACGGGTAATTCAGTTAGTGTAAGCACTAACTGATGTTTTGTAGAGCTATAATTTTGTGTTTGTGAAGTCCTATTAGACTGCCTAAATTGTGGCAACATCTCATTAAAGAGCACTTTCTGTCCTTCCCAAGTTGGGTGTTAATGAGTCATTGGATGGGTTTCACCGCCTGCATCCATCATTGCATTTTATAGTGATCTTATTGCTGCATTTAAAGTTCTGAGTAAAAATAGTTGCATATTCTTGATAACATTAAAAAATGACGAGAAAACATGACTGTTTAGGGAGAAGTGATTAAGTCTCTTCTATGGCACATCTCAAAGCAAAGTTTAAGATGAATTGAAATTATATCCTCATGTGCTGAAATCTGTCCAAAGTGTTGGGGTTACAGGTGTGCTGCATCACGTCCAGACCCCTACCTTATTTGTGAATCAGTTAGGAGATGAGAACAATGGAACAATAGGAAGCTATTACCTTTCTGTTCTTTAGGACTTTCCTGGGGCAACTGGTCTTCTCATATTAAATTCCAGTATGATAATTCTCACTCAGACGAAGTAGGAGCATACTGCTTCTGGGAAGCCAAATACAGAAATCAAGGGAGTCAAAGCCCCTCCACCTCCCTAAGAAGGCAGGAGTGGAGGAGGAAAGAAATATCAAGAATGTTATAGGAATAGATGACTATGTACATAGAAAACTACAAGATTAGGTTGGCTCAATTTCATAGATTCTGGTAGCTCTAGGCTTCTAGCAGCCCCTCCTAGAACCTCCACTGACTGTATAATCTGGTCATATATATTTATTCTACCAGTTGTCAATGAGAAAAGAGCAGGGACTGAAGTCCACTACAGTGTGGGCTCAAGACCAAGTCAATACTGGGTGCAGCTGCCACCCAGTTGTCACCATGCTAATAAGGAGCAGATACTTAGCAGAATTAATGTCCTATGAATCATTAGTAGGTTTTTTATGGAGGCAATTTAGCAACATCTGTCACTTTTTTGTGCTTCTATCATGTGAATAGTTCTTTGGCTCAGTGCTACAGAACTAATAGCACGGCTCATAAAGGGGAAGGGCAAATAATGTTTTTGCTCTTCAATATGATGCATAAATTTATGTCAAAAATGAAAATCAGGCCAGGTATGGGGTTCCACAGCAGAAGTTGAAGCAGTAGGACTGCAAGTTTGCGGCGATCCTAGCTACATAGTGTGTTGTATAGGTCCTTAAGAAGGCTCTCAAAAGTAAACAGAAAAAGAAAGCCGCAGTGTCCACCAAGAAGACAAGAGAAAAATTATGGAGAAGAAAGGGGGAATCCATATTTTTGCATAAAGCAAATTAAACGGATTGAGATAGTTAAACTGTTAACTTTTTTTAGGGCCCTCCATGGGGGCTCCCCAAAGTCCACCACATCATCCTGGGCCCTCCCGCATGTGTCCAGGCTCAAAAGAGCATCCCTTCACATGGGATGGATTCTCAAAGTCCCTTCTTACACCAGGGAAAAATACTGATCCACTACCAGGAGGCCCATAGAGTGCCCAAGGCCTTCTTATTGACATCCATGTTCAGGGGTCTGGATCAGTCCTGTGCTGGCCTCCCAGACAGCAATCTGGGGTCCATGTGCTCCCCCTTGTTCAGGCCAACTGTTTCTGTGGGTTTCACCAGCCTTGTCCCAACCACTTTGATCTTTGATTCCTCCCTCTATGCAACTGGGTTCCAGAGTTCAGTTCAGTGTATATCTGTGGGTGTCTGCCTCTGATTCCATCAGCCACTGGATGAGGGCTCTAGGATGGCATATAAAGTAGTCATCAGTCTCATTATAGGGGAAGGACATTTAGGTTATCCTCTCCACTATTTCCTAGATTGTCAGTTCATGTCATCCTTGTAGATCTCTGGAAATCTCCCTAGAGCCAGATCTCTCCTCGGACCTATAATGGCTCCCTCTATTATATCTCTCATCCTGCTCTCCTCTATTCTTCCCCTGACTCAACATTTCTGCTCCTCCATTTCCTCCTCTCCCCTCCTCTTCTCCTCCTCTCATTCTGGCAGCTCCCTCTGCCCTACCCTCATGCTCCCAATTAGCTCAGGAGATCCTGCCCCTTCCCATTCTCAGGGGTCCATTCATTTTTCTCTTAGAATCCTTCTTGTTTCATAGTTTCTTTGGTGAAGAGGATTGTAGGATGGTAATCCTTTGTTCTATGCCTAAAATTCATATATGAGTTAGTACATACCATGCTTGTCTTTTTGTGACTGGGTTACCTCACTCAGCATGGTTCCCTCTAGTGTCATCCATTTGCCTGCGAATGTCAAGATTCCATTGCTTTTTTCTGCTGAGTAGTACTCCATTGTATAAATGTATCACATTTTCTCTATCCATTCTTCAGTTGAGAGGCATCTAGGCTGCTTCCAGGTTCTGGCTATTACAAATAACGCTGCTATGAACATGGTTGAACATATGTCCTTGTTGCATGAACGTACATTATTTGGGTATATGCCCGAGTTGGAATTGCTGGATCTTGAGGTAGACTGATTCCCATTTTTCTGAGCAACCACTATCCTGATTTCCAAAGTGGTCTTACAAATTTGCACTCCCACCAGCAATGGAGGAGTGTTCCTTTTTCTCTTCCATCTCTTGTATTCTGTTGGTTATGCTTACGTCTGTAGTTCCTGATCGTTTACCCAGCTTTTCTATTTCCAGCATTCCCTTAGATTGTACTTTCTTTATTGTCTGTATTTCAGTTTTTAGATCTTGAACTGTTTCCTTGAGAGATTTGCTGATATCTTGTATTTTTTAGTTTGTTTTTTCTTCCATTTCTTTAAGGGATTTTCTCATGTCCTCTTTGAGGTCCTCTATCATTTTCATGAAGATGTTTTTAAGGTCATCCTTTTCTGGTTCATCTGCATTGTGATGTTCAGGTCTTTCTGGTGTATGGTTCCTAGTCTGAGGTGGTGTCATATTACATTTTCTGTTGTTGAATGTGCTTTTACATTGTACTATTCTCATCCTATCTTCTGGTGGGTGTAGCAGGAGTCTCTTCCTCTCCTGGTAGGTATGGGACCAAGGTTCCCTTCTGGTAAATGCAAACAGACCCAATACTCTGATGTCTAACATCTTCTCATGGATGGAGGTGGCACTGTTACTGGTGCCACAGCAGTGTCAGGGTGTGCTGGGTCCCTCTAGGGAGTTCGGATCTGGGAACAGATCCCGGGCGTCAGATGTCTCTGAGTGTTCCTTTTTCTCCACATTCTCTCCAGCATAGATTGCCATTGGTGGTTTTGATTTTAGCCATTCTTGCCAGTGGAAGATGGTATCTCAGAGTTGTTTTGAGTTGCATTTCTCTGATGGCCAATGACTTTGAGCACTTTCCCAAGTGTCTTTCAGCCATTTCAGATTGCTCTGTTGAGAATTCTCTATTAATTTCTGCACCCCACTTTTTAATTTCATTAATTTGGTGTTTTGATGGCTAGCTTCTTGAGTTCGTTTTATATTTTGGAAATCAGCCCTCTGTCAGCTGTGGGGTTAGTGAAGATCTTTTCCCATTCTGTGGCCTGGCGTTTTGTCTTACTGACTGTGTACTTTGCCTTACAGAAGCTTCTCAGTTTCAGGAAGTCCCATTTATTAATTGTTGATCTCAAAGTCTGTGCTACTGGTGTAATGTTCAGAAAGCGGTCTCCTGTACCAATTTGTTCAAGGGTATCTGCCACTTCTCTTCTAGAAGATTCAGTGTGGCTGGATTTATATTGAGATCTTTGATCCATTTGGACTTAAGTTTTGTGCATGGTGACAGACCTGCCATGTTCTGCATGTCTGAATCCAGTTGTGCCAGCACCATTTGTTGAAGATGCTTTCTTTTTTCCATTGTATAACTTCAGCTTCTTTGTCAAAAAATCAGCTGTTCATACCTGTGTCAATTAATATCAGGGTTTTCTATTCGATTCCATTGGTCAACCTGTCAATTTTTGTGCCAATACCAAGCTGTTTTCAGGACTATGGACCTATAATAGAGCTTGAAGCCAGGGATGGTGATGCCTCCAGAAGTTCCTCTATTGAACAGGGTTGTTTTGGCTATCCTGGGCTTTTGTTTTTCCATATAAAATTGAGTATTGTTCTTTCAAGGTTTGAGAAGAACTGTGTTGGGATTTTGATGGGAATTGCGCTGAATCTGTAGATTGCTTTTGACAAGATTGCCATTTTTACTATGTTGATTTTACCTATCCAAGAGCATGGGAGATCTTTCCATTTTCTGGTACCTATTTTAATTTCTTTCTTTGAAGACTCAAAGTTCTTACTATACAGGTCTTTCACTTTTTTAGTTAACCTTACCTCAAGATATTTAATGTTATTTGTGGATATTGTGAAAGGTGATGTTTCTCTGATTTCTTTCTCATTGCATTTATCATCTGTATATAGTAGGGCTACTGATTTTTTTTAGTTAATTTTGTATCTTGCTACTTTGACTACAGTGTTTATCAGCTGTAGGAGTCCCCTGGTAGAGTTTTTCAGGTCACTTTTGTAGACTATCATATCATCTGCAAATAGTGAAAGTTTGACTT